ATCGCGCTCGACTGCGAGATGGTCGGCACAGGCCCGCCGCCCGCTCTCGACTCCCAGCTCGCGCGTGTCTCCCTCGTCAACTACCACGGCCACCAGCTCTACGACTCATATGTGCTGCCCACGATACCGATAACAGACTACCGCACCGCCGTCTCTGGCATCACGCCCGCGCTGCTGCGCAAAGGCTATGCGCGGCCCTTCGCTGAAGTGCAACGAGATGTCGCCGAGCTCATCTCAGGCCGCATCCTTGTCGGCCACGCGCTCAAGAACGACCTCGGCGTACTGGTGCTGAGCCACCCGCGCCGCGACATCAGGGACACGGCGCGGCATCCGAAGTTCAGAGCGCTGAGCATGGGGAAGGCGCCGAGTTTGAAGCGGCTGGCGAGTGAGGTGCTGGGGGTGGAGATACAGGGGGGCCAGCACTCGAGTATTGAGGATGCGAGGGCGACGATGGCGTTGTTTCGGGAGGAGAAGGAGGCGTTTGAGGAGGAGCATTTGAAGAGATGGGGAAGGCCCAAGGCGGTGGAGGAGGCGGTGGATGGTGGGGAGGCGGATAATGGTACGGGGCAGGGGAGGAATAATAAGAAGAGGAAGAAAAAGGGAAAAGGTGAGGCAAGAGCTGAAAGGTAGCTCGTCAGGCTATATGCGCATGACGCGCTACACACGGCCTACGGTCTAGATAAAGCCACTAGGGTATCGAGCTCGTCGAAGAAGCACGTAAGCAAAAGAGCAGGCCGGGCACCTCGAAAGGGGCTTCCCCATACGAAGTAGAAAAGCCTGCACCACCACATGTCCGTATCAGAACGAGACATCCTCCAGCATCTCCATGGCGCCCTCGCGTCCAGCCGTGATTATCACGTCGCCCAGCGTCTTCGTAGCGAAGCCGGCTTCGCAGTACGTAAAGTAGTATTCCCACTTTCTCCTGAACGTCTCAGCGTCCCTCTTGGTCATGTGCTCATGCTCCACCAGCAGCGCCGGGCGAATCTCGGCGTCGAAATTCTGCATAAAGTTTCCCTCCCATAATCGCAGCGTCTTCGCATAGTGTGGACCGATGTCTTTGATGGCGTCAACTACAAGGGTAGCTCTCGAGCCCTCTGCGATCTTCTGAACAAGCTGCGAGACCGACGGAAGATGGCCGCCGGGGAGGATGTGTTTGCAGATGAAGCCGTCGCCTTTCGCGTACGCCTCGTATCTCTGCCGGACGTGTCAGTTCAGGCTCGTCAACCTCACGCGACGCCTTCAGCAAAAGCAGAACCTACCGCTTCAGTCATGGTGATGCACTGGAACACCGCCACGCCCCCTCCCTTTTCAGCAGCCTATCCACACACTCGAAATACGTCACCAGATACTCCCTCTCCACCGCCTCGAGCATCTCAATGCTAACAAGCTTATCGAACCCGCCCACCGGCACCTTCCCCATCTTCTCCAGCGCCCTATAATCCCACAGCAGCACCTCGATCCCGTTCTCGAGCCCCGCACTCCCGATCCGCTCCTCCGCAAGCTCTTTCTGCTCCACACTCAGCGCCAGACTCGTGACCCTGCACCCCATCGCCCGCACCGCGGTGATCGCAAAGCTGCCCCACCCTGTCCCGATCTCAGCACGTGGTCCCCGGGTTTTATCCGCGCGGCCCGGATGAAGCGGGACAATTTCCGCATCTGCGACGCCTCGAGCGGCTCGCTGCTTGAGCGCGGATCCGACGTAGCCGCCAGATCGGACGCAAGTAGGTCATGTCGGCGCTCAGGAAGGCGGCGAACATGGCGTTGCTGATGTCGTAGTGGGCGGCGATGTTGAGGCGGGCGTTGGAGAGGTCGTTGGCGCGGCGGAGGAGCCCGGTCAAAGAGGTCGAGAGCGTGGAAGTCAGGGTGGAGCCGTTGAAGAGGTGGGATCTGTTCAGGATGAAGAGCTTGAAGAAGGCCGTAAGGTCCCTGCAGGAAATCTCGAACAGCGTGTAGGATTCGGCGAAGCCCATGTCTGCGAAGAGGAGGAGCCGCACCCAGAAGAGGTTTTTGTAGACGTGGAGAGTGGTGCAGGGTGTGGAGGGTAAGGCGATGCCGCAGTGATAGATTTGGCCGTCCGTGTCAGTGATGGTGAGCTGCCCGGTCTGGATCCGCTGGAGGAGCGCAAGGGTCAGGCTGCGGGAGAGCTTGACAAGAGGGTCCCAGGCCAGGGAGCCGGCATAGCTGCGCAGCGCGTTGAAGCGGAAGACGATGGTGTTGGAGAGCAACATGGTGGAAGCAAGGAGTTTTTACGCAAGCATGGAATCGCGGCCAATACAGTCTTCTATATACGGCAGTATACCTGGGGGCACACGCTCTAGCGCTGGGAAAGGAAAGTATGCACAAGCTGTGTGCCGGGCTGAGCCGGCATCTGAAGCTGCACCCTCATGCCCCAAGCAATCTCCTCCATCATCAGGATTCCTTACAGAAGCATTCATGGTCGAGACAGTCCTGTTCCTGGAGACGATGTCGAACTCAGGAAGGGTCCAAGGGAGGGTCTGCTAGTGCGGGGCATCGCCGGGATCGCGTGCAGGGCGCCGTTGTCAGGGCTGCTCGGCTCCTGCCGGCCGGTGTGCCGCCCCTTTCCATTGGTAGATTAGGGCATCGTCCTCCTAGACAGTGCGAACATACCTGCTTACTTACCTGTGTGTGCGTACAAAGTACTAGATCCTCAGAGATGCATGTTTGAACCGAAGGATAGAGAGACAACATTAGATCCCCCCATTGCTTTCCCACGTCGCGATGGTCGGAAGCAAGCACAAATTCCCTAACGCCGGCCGGATGTATCTCGGTACTAGGTAGTGCTGAACGCGCTTCGACGCGCCCTCTATCCGAGTCGCGTGCATCAACGAGCAAATACAACCACTCGAGAATTTGATACCTCAACTTTGACAACTTGTTCTACATCCCCAATGCTCGCGATACAACCCGCAAAAGCCCACAAAGGCGTCTGCACGCCCAATGTTCTTCCCTGCCGAATCAACCACAACGGCCCTGTCAATGCATCGGAGCGGTACTGGCAGCCCAAGACCGACGACGGTAGCTTTCCCCATCACAAAGCACTAAAAAGCCAAGCAAGCCTGACAAATATTAGATGGCAAGGCAACCGCCTATTTCCGCGGCCGCAAACTGCGCGGTCGAGCCGTGAAGATACCAGAGGGCTACCGAGGTCGGCAGTTGCCATTCTCCCTCCCTCGTGTCTAAGAACGCATGCTGAGCACCACCTAGGCGTCGTCTTAAACACCACGGATAAGCTCCTCCCACAGACACACACGCCTCATGAGCCGTCGCCCGGCGCTCTTGAAGAAGATGATGACGATGAAGACGCCGAACAACCTACAGAAATCAAGGTCGCAGAGGAAGTGGCCTCGTTCGACGCGGTAGTGGTCTGGGGACACGATACGCTGCCAGAGGCGACGGACGATCCTTATGCGAAGGGAGTGGAGGAATGGATAGCTTTCGCCGAGGTGGTGCGTACTTTTCGGAATGCCCTACTCTGTGGTGATGGCTGTTCTGACAGGCGCAGATGCACTCGTGGCAAGGCAGTGAGAGTACTGGGGCTGAGAAGGTGGAGGCGAAGACGGCATCTTCGTGAGGATCGGCCGCGGAGTTCAAGGCCGATATTCTGCATATGGCGAAGGCTGGGCCTGGAGCGTGTGCACCGGGGCTGCGGGCTTCGACGGCCTGGCGGCAGACGGAGTTAGGGGCTTCGGAAACGGAGCAGCGCGGGACTGCCAGATTCAATCTTCGTCCGCATCTTCTTTCTTTACGGCCTTCCCAGAGCTCTTGTGATCCTTGTCCCACTCTTTCTGCTCTTTGAGGAACTGCTCTTTGAGCTTCTGGTACTGCTCGTGCGCCTTGCACTGCTGCCAGACCTGCTTGAAGACCTCAGAAGCCTCTAGTTTGGCGTCGTGGTCGATATGGCTGGAGCTCTTCTGCAGCTCTTTGCCGCTGCGCTTGTCGTATTTGCGCCCCCGGCGTGGTTGGCGTAGCGTTTGGCGCGGGTCATACCCTAAGCCAGGATTAATATGTAGAAGAGTTCAAGCATATATCCATATCAAGCCGAGTATTGGAATGATGACAGAGATAAGAGATTGAACTTGTAGTTTGTGAAACCACTTGATTCACAGCCCTGCATCACGGAACCAAGTAAACATACGTACCATCTGAATATACTTCCTTGCCATATCCATCCCCACGAAATCTCCCAACTCACCATACTCCTCAAACCGCTCCCACAGATCCGCAGAGCTGTTCTTCGCGATCTCGACAGTGCGGAAGCGCCAGAGGGGCAACAGCATCGATTTGTACGGCTCGAACGTTAGCACGCCCTGCTCGCCGCGGCCGATACGGTACGACATGCGGAGGGCTTTGTCGTACAGGGCTGGCGCGCTGGACATGGTGTCTTCTGATGGGGTTTCTTCTTTCATGGCAACCGACGCGGTTTGAAAACCGATTTTGTGTCTTGTCGCGTGGACATGCAGGTGATGTTGAGCGGCCTGAGGGAGCCTTGATGTATTGAGGTAAGGAATGACGTATCATCATGAGAGGCTGCGATTTTCAGGATCGAGGGAAGTCCAAGCTCTGAGCTTTTAAGTCGTGTTACACGCGCTGATCCACTGGAGAGGCTTCTGCGTGGTAAGTCCAGTTGTAGTAATCATGCAGTTGCGAATAATTTCACATCACCAGTCGTAGGGAAGGGAACACTTGTGATCACAAGGGTGCTCTTGATCATCAAAACCCTTGAGCACTTTAGCCTCTGCAATCCATAGCTGCCAAGCTCATGATTGAATTGAACCAAGCCTCTCGAGACAGCATTCACCAGACTGCGAGCGTATGGTCGCCCTTGTGAATAGAGTTAGGAAGAATCCTTCATTCGATAGACGGTCACGATATGCATTGGATACATTCTCGTTAAGATGCGGCCTCGACAGAGCTCGCGAGTAGCTGCAGCTCATTCAGAACATTATATTTTTACGTGGCATAAAGGGCCCCTATCGCGCGGTCACGTAGTGTAGTGGTTAGCACTCGGGATTTTGATTACATCAAACTTCCCGCGACCCCGGTTCGATCCCGGGCGAGACCTTACTTTTGCTCATTCAACGGTTATCCAACTCCCGATCTACAGGTCGGTTTTTGCTCATCACTTAGCCGACAGCGTGTTTTTAGCCGCGGAAAGTTTGGGTAGTCAAAATCCCGAGTGCTAACCACTACACTACGTGACCGCGCGATAGGGGCCCTTTATGCCGCCAGCTGGCGCTGGCACAACGCGCTGCGCGCGTTCAGGACAACCACACGGCTTGAAACATTTTTTGACCCTCACCAGATATACGCCCCGCAAGGGTCGTCTCTCTGCGGGCCGAAATGGAGCTTCCCCCGGTCTTTAAGACATGTGGTGGAGCGGCTGCGGGTCTCTAGCAACTTCCACGTTTGGATAGCTTTACAGATTGAGCACCAGGTGAGCATGCCACAAGCAGCACATGACAGATGTAGAAGGATGCAACGTCATTGAGCTTGTCGTTGCATGGATTGCGCTTTGGGCCTTGCTGTTTACAATCAATATGATTTTATGTCTTCACTACCCTCGATCTAGTATCCAAGCATCACTCAAACCCCTCCCCTCCACTCTCATCCGTCAAATACTTCCTCCCCTTCATCCCATCAGTAACTCCCTTCACCGCATTCTCAAGCCACAGATGCCTCCGCGTCTCACACAGTGCCCTCCCCACTCCCCTCTCAACACCTCCTCATCGACACTCCCGAGAAAGATCTCCGTCTCTTCCGGCGTCGCATCATAGCAGAACGTCAGGCTGCCACCGCACTTCCCGCAGAAGCTCCTCTTGCCGCTGGGACTGGATCGATAGGTCTTGTAGCTCTCATTCGACGGCAGCGGCGGCGATATATTAGCCGTGGGCACGCCAGCGGTCTGATTAATGATGGCGCCGGTGAATTTACGGCAGATCGTGCATTGGCATGTTGCGTTCTGCGAGGATGGGGTTTGAGTTGTGGTGTGCGGATGGGGTGGGTAGGAAGAAAGATAGGTTAGGCATAGAGGCGTGAAGGAGAAGAGAGGGCAGGGGAGAGGAGAGATCTTACTTTTGGGGGTGGCCAGGGCGATGATGGAGGGAAGGAGATGGTGTAGCGGATGGCGCCGCAGAGGCAGCCGCCGGTGATTGAGGTCGGACGGGAGGTAGAGGGCGTTTCGGAAGGCATGATTAGCTTCTGAGAGATGCGATTTGATACAGGCACAAGGTTTTTCTAGAGAGTGTGGACGAAGGGAAAGTTGTTTCATTTTAAGCTCATTCGAATGTCGTGTTCAGAATAGGGCGTGCCAAGCTGCAGCGTGCCGATCAACACGTGAGTAGCATAGAAAGGCATGCGTGACTAGTAGAAGTGGAAGGAAATTGGCCAGATGCCTGCACGATACCGAAAATCCGATGCCGGTTGTGGTGTATGGCGATGGTATTGTCAACTCGAAAAGAAGACTCAATCTAGGTATGAACTAAGGAAGAACAAGTTGCAACTCGAAGAAAGAAAAGTTTAGCAGTTTCATCCACAGCCAAGTAGGACCTCACGCATACAATTTAGGCGGCCCTTACTTGGTACTTCAAACTCACCTACCACCAACCCATCCAGGAAGCTGCCTCTACACGGTCGTCCAACAAGGCTAAGGCACCCATTTCCAGGGCTCCAGGCTTGCGGATCAGACCCTGCAGCATGCAGCCGCCTAGACGAATCAGGTCCGGGCTGCTGGAGCAGGCTCTCTTACCATGATATCCAGCTCCACGCCCTTCTCTGCCCTCTGCAGATGAATCTTCCTCTTGACCTCAAAGCCGAATTTCTGGTAAATCTTCGGATTGACATCGTTCGAGCTTTCCAAATAGCAAGCCCTCGCTTCTCTGTCCGCCGTCCTCGTGACATTTTCAATCAGCTTGCGAGCGTAGCCTTTGCCGGTTGAACAAGGCCTAGTGCCGATGTAGACGAGGTACCATGCGGAGTCGTCACGATGTCCGAGGATGCTGTGTTTGGTGTCGTGCAGCAGAGGCAGGAACTCGGTGAAGAAGCGCTTCTTTCCTTCAGCGGAAAGTTTGTAGTTCAGACGCCACAGACCGGAGCGGAAGATGGTATAGAGATCGTCCATGTTCTTGCCAGGTGGCATCCTGCACAACATTAGATGCTTGGTGTTCAAGTGCGTCAGGTACAAGAGGGACGCTCGACGCTGTGCGCGCATCATACTTACCATAGAGCCACCGCGCCGTAATTTGGCCCCACAGTAGTAACCAGCCCTTTCAAGCAGTGCGCGTACGTCACATACTCCATGATCGACACATGCAAGTCCCACTTCTGCTTCGCAGTCCAATGTGCACGGTCAGGAGTATCGACGAAGTAGCGAGCCACATCGTCATGCTCGAAAGCTTCCGCAAGACAGCGAGCGGCTTCCTTGTACTCATCGATGGAGATCACACGAACGCCATCATCGACCTTGCTGTTGAGAACCGCATTCTCGGGCTTGGTCTCCGCAGGAACGTCTGGGAACATGGAATCGTTTCTGTTGATGCTCTCTCTGCCGTTCAAGGCTGGGCTCTTGTCGACGATGGAAATCGTAGCTGATGCAAGACCTTTCTCCATGATTGCGTCTGATTGCTTGTTCTTCTACTACTAATCTGTATATGGGAACGACCGGTGCGTTTGTGGACGTGGGTGATCGTGTGCCTCGCCAGCGTGATGGTACGCAGTGAAAACGGCACAATCGCCTGTCGGGGCAAGATTGTTTGGTTGCTAAGATGATTGTTTGCGTTCAAGAAGGTCCTTTAAAGAATTAGTATACATGGCTGCGTTGGCTTTGCAACTGACTAGTCGGCAGAGGAATCAGCATCGTACCCGCTTCTAAGATCAGATTCGTTTAAGGACTTTCGGCCGGTCTCGTATCGTCACCAGTGTGTATTCTTGACAGCCCAGATCTCGAGATCGACTCGACTCGAGATGGATATCGCAAAGAAGTAAAGGCTTGGCGTAAGTCAACCGACATCAATAGAGAGATAGTCTGAGAAGCCGATAGATGGCTGGGGAAAATTGAGGTTGATGTTGTACTGCTGCAGCTTTCCCGTATGCAGCAGTCGAATATGCCGGTGGTGCAGTTAAAGCTGTGCAGCGAAGCGTCTGCGTTCCGACTCGTTATCTGAGTGTTGTCGTACACGGTGCAACTGCTTGTTGTTCTTTTGAGTTGTCTTTTGTTATGCTGATGCTAAGAGCAAACAGAAGAACAAGTGGCAGTCAAGTGGTGATAGTTGACGTTTGAATAGCTGGACAGCCAAGCTGCGGCGTTGATCCCGTGGACGGATGGGGCGTGATTAGCTGCCTGAAGAAGAGTGCTGGAATCGGCGTGGGCTGTCCTGCAGGATGTTGTGGTTTCCGCAAGCATCGAAACCGGCGGGGGAACGTAACCTTAGATACCTTATGTACCTACCAGCATCTGCCACACTGTCCGTCATGCGGCGCCATCCGAGGATGAGGCACATCATGAGGCTGGCTAGACGCGGTTCCTGGCCTTGCATTCTGTGCTGTCTGACCTCGTATCACGGTCATGAGTGGTTGCGATCTTAGGGAAAGTCTCCGGGAAGCCGGAAATCCGGGCGAGTCTCGTCCACATGCACGCCGGGCCAGCAGGCCTGGCCATGCATGAGAGCTGATAAGTTTGCAGATTCGTAGGAATGGCTTGAACCGGTTGAGGTGATGCGAGGTCGTAGGGTTCGGTTCGCATGGAACTGCTTAAAGCGGCAAGGCCGGTGGATGGGGGATGATCGCTGAAGTACCCGGTACCGAACACCAGTGACACCAAATCGAGGTCAAAGAAGTCACTCAGTACTCATGGGGGGATCAACAATAGGCCGAGTGTCTCTCGGATGTGCGGCATGAGGCGAAGCTTCTCAGGTATGACCGTTTTGTTGTTTACTGTCTTGTACGGAGAGATGACTTATGGAAGAAGTAAGAAGCCGTGCCAGCAGCGGTGCTCCAATACGACAGCTTCTTACTCTGGCATGACGTGTACCGATCTAATGTGCGACCCCCGCAACGACGCCTCGAGTTGCGTTCGCGAGAAAATGAGGAAGAAGAGATCTCGCCAGGATCGCTCATGACTCCAGCAATGCGAATTCATCTCCACAGACAGAAGGAAGGCCAAGTCTTGGCCCAACGTAGCATAAGTTCATTACCCCCAGCTTACCACGCCCCAACATCAGCCGGCCCAGCATCCTGCGCATCCAGTGCCTTGGGCACATCAAGCATCCTCCTGATTTCCGTCTCGCCCATGTACTTCTCAAGCCCACTGTCCAGGTGTTCCCACCACTCGAAAAGCATGCTCTCGCAGATCAACTTGAACCATGGAGTGAACGTCAGGGTATCGTCCTTGAACATCGCCTTTAGCTCCTGCTCAGAGACATAGCAGGTATCGCGCACTTCGTTCGGATTCGGCTCCAAATTTGGATCTGAGCGGATGAACAGGATATAGTCAACTGGAATAGTCGTGTGAGCAAGTTGTCACTTCCAATCGGTAGAGGGGCTCCTCTTACTCTCGTGCTCGCCCCACTTGCCATCACTAGGCGCCTTGTAGTGTATCCTCGTCAAGAACTTGAAATTCTCTAACGGCACATCCTTCGCCTTGATACCCAGCTCTTGATCCAATTTCCTTTGCGCCGCACGCTTGACGCCCTGTATACTCGCGTCCAAGCCCACACCGGTCTCTCCAGGTATGCCCAACGGATGTGAACAGCAGGTGTTTGTCCACATATCCGGGAATGTGATTTTCTCTGTTGCGCGCTGCTGGAGGAGAAGGCGATTTTGAGAGTCGAAGAGGAAGACGGAAAAGGCGCGGTGGAGGAGGCCTTGGTTTATATTCGACATGAGATGGCCTGGTAGTTTAGTTAGCCCATTGTGTTCTACATAGCTGACCTGCCGGGCTCTGGCGCATCGAGACAAGGCGCACGCGACAGTTCTCCTGGTCCACATACAAACTTTCTTGCTCGCGCTACCAATTGGCACATCATTGTCGTCCAGCACAATGCAGACCTCGTCCATCAGCCGTATCTG